CTGGTTTGAAAATGGCAGGTGGGCCTGGCTTTCACAGTCGAGGCGGCACTGATGGAATATGCCAGATGCCCAGGAGGACTGAGACCCCCTGCTAGGAGCTTGGCCTGGGCTGGCCTAGGGGTGTGGCCTGGAGGGTGTGGCCTGGGCTGGCCTAGGGGTGTGGCCTGGGCTGGCCTGGGGGTGTGACCTGGAGGGTGTGGCCTGGGCTGGCCTAGGGGGTGTGACCTGGAGGGTGTGGCCTGGGCTGGACTGGGGGTGTGACCTGGAGGGTGTGGCCTGGGCTGGCCTAAGGGGGTGTGGCCTGAAGGGTGTGGCCTGGGCTGGCCTGGAGGATGTGGCCTGGAGGGTGTGGCCTGGGCTGGCCTGGGGGTGTGGCCTGGAGGGTGTGGCCTGGGCTGGCCTGGGGGTGTGGCCTGGAGGTTGTGGCCTGGGCTGGCCTGGGGGTGTGGCCTGGAGGGTGTGGCCTGGGCTGCTGCCCGTCCCCGCTCCTCCCTGTGTGCTGGACGTTGGGTGATGGTGTTTGTTCTCTGCTGCATTGAAGCAGAAGCCCCTGTTGCCTTGTGATATGAACATGTGCATTTTTAAATTGCCGTTTAATATAACTCACCAGGGCACGGAAGACAAATTATGTGCCTGAGCGAGGCAGTGAAACTCTGCTTGTCCTGATGCGGCTCTCTGTGGGAGGGTGGCCCGGCCTCCATGGCCTCCTGGGAGCCACGGGGCCTGCAGTGCAGCCTGATCAGCTCCCCCTCGGGTGGGGGAGGCCGGCCTCTGAACTCTGGCCGGACGAGAGGCTGTTGGCCGTTAGTGTAACCAGAGAAGCCTAGGTTCCGCAGCAGTGCCACGAGCCCGGGGCCCTTTGCCCTCTCACTGTTTGCCCGCCTGCCCGCCCGTTCCCAGCCCTGCCTCCCCGGGGCTGGCTCCCGCAGGCCTCAGGACCTCATGCCTGGTGTGTGGTTCAGGTCTCCTTTGCTGTTTGAAGGAGGAAAAGCCCGCTGCTTCAGAGACCACATCAGTGTCGGGCGCCCGCCCATTCAGCCCCCACTTCCCCAGACTCCTGGACACCCGAGCAGTGGATTCGGGCGTGTGTGTGATGGTGTTCAGTCTCTCTGACCGCAGGCTCCGTGCAGAATTCACAAAGAAGAGGGCTCACGGCAGCCCAGGGCCAGCAGGCTCCCAGGACAGCGGGAGAGAACATGTGGCCGTTGACACTGACAGTGTGGCAGATGCCACCTCAGAGACTTGGCCAGGACCTCAGGGACAGGGACAGTGTCCTGCCCAGGAGTGAGGGAGGGAAGGCCTCACAGGATAACGGGGGTGTAGTGGCAGAGCAGGCTGGGAAGTGGCCTGCGGGTGACAGCCACCCAGGGTCAGGCCCGCTCACAGCCAGAGTGTGCAGGGCTTGGGGGGCTCCTGTGTGCCAGGATCAAGGGCATTTCCACGCTGCGTGTGGTCGGGGCCGGCAGCTGCAGCATGGAGCCGGGGTAGAGGCTGGGAGCCCGGGGTGCTGCTGCGAAGGCCTTGGCAGTGTTTTGCCAGGCTTGAATATCAGTTGATTCCCTTTTGTTTAGGACGTGGTGATGTGTACTTCTGATGGATATTAGGAAAGCCATATCTAGCATGCCGGCCCTACTGCAGTGCTATAGTATTAATGCAATTAAGGTTTTTAAAAACCTGAGTTGGTCTGAAGAACAGTGATGGCGTCAGGGCTTCCACTGCCGGCAGTGTGGTAGACCTGGTGTCCCGACGGCCTTCCTGTCGCAGAACCTACCACAGGATGCCCCTGTGTTTTAAAGACATAACCGCAGGGAGGAGAGGCTCAAAGCCCGGGCTTGAGGGAGCAGGCAGGGAACAGCATCCAGGATAGAGCTGGTCCACTCCGGCGGGGCCCGAGTACTTGGTTCCCTGCTGCTCACGTGGGAGCCCGGATGGAGTTGCAGGCTCCTCGCTGTGGGGTGGTCCGGCCCTGGCTGATGTAGGCATTTGGGGCCTGAACCAGCACTGAATGAACTCTTTCTCTGTCCACCTTTCAAACAAAATGAAAATAAATAAATTTTTAAAATGAAAAGCAAACCAAAAACTCCTCACTGATAAATAAGCCATGATCTATACAAGGAAATCATGAAACAAAAATCTGAGTTTATTTATTAATAGAGATTCATTAAAACTGGGATACAGCTGAAGTACAGCTTACGGAAGGAAATTGATGGCCTTCATGGTTGCTTGTAACAGAAGTGAAGAAAGGGCAAGCACAGATTAGCTCAGTCTCTGCCTTACGTCAGGAAAATACTGAATAATTAAAGATAAAGGGAAGTGGCCGTGGCTCACTAGGCTAATCCTTTGCCTGCGGTACCAGTACCCCAGGTTCTAGTCCCGGTTGCCCCTCTTCCAGTCCAGCTCTCTGCTGTGGCCCGGGAAGGCAGTGGAGGATGGCCCCAGTTCTTGGGCCCTGCACTCACATGTGAGACGAGCAGGAGGCACCAGGCTCCTGGCTTCAGGTCAGCGCAGCGCCGGCTGTAGCAGCCATTTGGGGGGTGAACCAACGGAAGGAAGACCTTTCTCTCTGTCTCTCTCCCTCACTGTCTACCTCTGCCTGTCAAAAAATAAAAAAATAAAGGTAAGCTACTGAGCTTTTGGGTGTGTTTGAAACATCCACAGTAAGAAAGGGAGGCGCGTGGCTGCAGGAAGGAGGTGACAGAGTTAACAGCAGCGATCAGTGGCATGCGGATCAGGCCGGGAAGTTATCGTCGGGAAGTTGGCCCTTCGCAAAGGCTGATGGAATTGTCAAAGCCTGCGTGTGCTCAGGGATGCAGGTGAGGGGAAAGGCACGAAAAAGCACCAGAGTCCCACGTAAGACATCAGCACAGGTGCAACAGAGACTCAAGGCGAAAGTAGGCTGTTGTGCACGAATTTGAAAGCTTACATGACAGATTCCTGGGACAGTAAAATTTCCCCCAAATACGAGAAAGTCTGATTGTTTTAAAACCATGTAGAAATTGAACCAGGAATAGAAATCTTTCTGCAAAATAAAACCCCCGTCGGGTCAGCCTGTTGTGCAGGGGTGTGTGTGGCAAACATTGGAAGGGCACACGCCCTGCTGTGTGCAGCTCTCCTTGCAAAGGAGAAGTCGGAGGAGGGGCAGGGTTGACCTCATGCCCACACCAGGGCGGCTCAGGGCAGGACAGGCAGGAGTGCCTGTGTGAGAACACATGGGCCCAGCCGGGGCCAGATCCAGCTCATTCGGGAGCGTGTGGCCAGCACACGTTATAGAAGCTCCGACACCCTGTAACCTACCACGCTAGCAGCCCAGGCGGGGACAAGTGGTCCCATGCTGGGTGCTGGACATCAGCCTCCCACCCTCTGCAGCCCTCCCGGGAAGAGCCCCCGCCTAGGATTGGAAGCCAGCTCTCCTGGGCTGCCGTGGTCGTCCACTAAAGAATGCCTGGAGCAGACGTCCTCGTCCGCAGTGCAGTGTGGAAAGCGGCCAGCTGTTTTAAAGTCGGGCCATGTGAGGGGAGGGTGAGAGGTGTGAAGAAGCCCCTTCAGCCGGCCTGCTCAGCTCTGACTTCCCAGGACCCGTCGTCATTGGCAGCATCCTGCTGGGTCTCCCCCAGCTCCCGTCGTCCTGTAGGCCTGTGAGCCACTCTCCTGGGCCCTAGATGTGCGTGTCCAGGTGCCCACCTGACACCTCCACTGGCTGCCTGGCACGTGGCTTCCCCTCAGCAGGTGCCCGCCTTCCCGCCCAGGCGGCCTCTGCTGCTGGCTTCCCTCCACCCCTCCCGTTGCAGGAACCGAAGCGCTGGCATCGGCCTTGTCTTCCTCCCCTCCTACCCAGGCCCCTCTTCCTGACCATTGTGTTTCCTCTGTCCAGGACGGGGACTCTCCCCTCAAGCCTTGCTTCTCCCACCTTCGCCGTATCACCGACACCTCCCGGTTTTGTGATTCGCCTGTCCCCAGTCTCGTCCCTGCCTCTCTGGTCCCGGCCCTGCCGTGTGCCAAGCCCGTCTTCCGCGTGGCAGCATTGGGGTCCTTGGAAGCGAGTGTCTTTCCTGGTGACAAGGCGCCAGGAGACTTCCTCCACGTGTACCTCCTCACTGCTGTGCTGAGCTGTGGCCTTGCTGGCCTCTGCCCGGTTCCTGGGACGTGCCGCGCGCCCGACTGCTGGGTCTTGCGTGCCCTCAGTCCACCTTCCCCCATGTCTGCATGGCCGTCTCTCTTTGGGGCCTTCGCTGGACTGTCACCGCAGGCGGCTGATTGCAGAGCCGTCTGCAGACAGCATCAGCAGCCCCGCCATTCCCGCCGCCCGGCCTTGCCTTGTTTCAGAAGCGCGGCGTCGTCTTAGACACCCGTGTGTGATTTCTTCCGCTTAGCGACCTGTTGGTGGCAGTCGCCTGGGTGTCACAGAGACACGGCGGCACCGAGAGTGATGTCTCGGGGGCCCTGGTCTCAGTAGTTGACAGCGTTGGTTGAGGGGACCCGGGGACAAGAGGACGAGTGGCGTTCCTGATGGGGGTGTGAACCCAGAGGGGAGGCAGGGGAGCGGAGCTGCGGTCCTGGGTTTCAAGGAGTCAGCAGGGGTGACGATGTGGGAGAGCGAGGGTCCCTGTGGCCGTGGGGAGGTGAGAGACGGGGAGACTCCTTCTCCCTTCAGGACAGGATCGGGACGTGTCCTGCGGCTGTGCCTGCCCTGCCACTCACCGGGGCTCCACCTGGGCTGCGTACCGGACCTCTCGTCTGTGAGATGGGAGGACAGCCCAGGGACACCTGGCGCTCAGGCTGCCTGTGGTCACCCTTGGCTGTGGTGTGTGTGGGAAGCGGCCCCAGAGCCCTGTCCTCACTCCTGAGGCCGCTGTGTTTACTTCAATGAGGCGAGGATGTAGAAGTGAAGGCGTGAAGTGAGAGTGAGCCGGCCAGCGGCCAGCGGGGGCCTTGGTCCCCTGTGCACCCTGACCGGGGGACCTGAGCTTCGCACATTAACACCTCTCTGTTGTTTCTTTCAGTCTGAACCCGAGGGCTTCTCGCATTTCCACTTGTACGTTTGTGCGGCTTTTCTCGTGCGGTGGAGGAAAGAAATACTAGAAGAAAGAGATTTTCAAGTAAGTAAGCGCCTCTTCGGAAGAGCCGGGGCCTGATTTCCTGCCAGGAGGGGGGACTATTAGATGTCGGTTCGCAGCAGCATTTGTGGAAGGGCTTTGAGGAGCGTGGCTGCGAGTCCCAGCTGTGTGGCAGCTCGTCCGGCGCTGCACGAGGGCTGGTGGGTCTGGTGGCCGGCTGGGGCGGCACGAGGGCTGGTGGGTCTGGTGGCCGGCTGGGGCGGCACGAGGGCTGGTGGGTCTGGTGGCCAGCTGGGGCGGCACGAGGGCTGGTGGTGTCTGGTGGCCGGCTGGGGCGGCACGAGGGCTGGTGGTGTCTGGTGGCCGGCTGGGGCGGCACGAGGGCTGGTGGTGTCTGGTGACCGGCTGGGGCGGCACGAGGGCTGGTGGTGTCTGGTGGCCGGCTGGGGCGGCACGAGGGCTGGTGGTGTCTGGTGGCCGGCTGGGGCGCCCTGGACGTGCCTGCATCCTCAGCCTAACCCCGGTCGGGCTGGGGGTGGGGGTACCAGCATGCCTCAGGGGCGGTGCCGGTGAGAACTCACACAGAGCTCCTGTCTGTCATGGTAGCTCTGTGACCTGAGGGACGTTGCTCAACCTCTCTGAGCCACGGTTTCCTTAGTGACTTAGTGGGGTGGCTGTCGAGCACACATCCTTCCCGGGGGCTCTGTGTGGACAGGGCTCCCAGCCCCCCACCCACCTCCGAGTTCTTCTGTGTAGTGGGGGTGTTGATCCTGTCACAGGGAGGTGCCACCCTTACCCGAGGTGCTGTCCGGTGCTGCCGCCGGCTGGAGTCACTCTCTGCCTCTTCCCCGTTCTGGTGGCCCAGGGCAGCCCACCGGCCTTGTCACACCCCCTCTCTGTGCTTGTCACGTGGCTCCCAGCCCCTCCACTCCCTCTGGGAGTCTGTGGCCCCGGGGCTTCTCTGGCAGTCCCTGGGAGCAGCTGGTCAGGTGAGAACCTCTGCCGTCCCGGAGCTGCCAGCAAGGCCGCAGGCTCTGCCCACAGCCCAGCCTGAGGGTCCTGGTGCGTGGGGACACTAGGGACATTCTGTTCCTGCAGCCCTGTCCTTGATCTCAGCATCAGCACACTAGTCCCGGTCCCAGGCTGGCCGCCTCTCCTGCCCCCCCCCCCCCCCCCCCCGTGGCCTGTGACGCGCGTCTGTAGATGAGCAGTATACCCCTGGCCGCTTGGGCATGGGTGAGGCCGCTGGAGGGAGCCCAGCCCCCTGGACCACCTTGCCTCCCCTGGGAGCTGCGCTCTGGGTCCGTGCGGGCACGGAGAGAGGCTGCGAGTTGCCGTGTCACCGAGGGAGGTAGCGCGGGTGGGGCCCTGTGCTCTCCTGCAGCAGGGGCCCTCTGATCCGCAGGGGTGCGGGAGCAGTGCTGGCTGGGCAGGCGCCCCTGCCCGCCGCCTGGCCTTTTCCTGACGGGAGGATGGCCCAGCTTCCTCTGGGTGCGACCGTGGCCAGGGAGTGGACTCCCACGGGCTGCTGTGCAGCCCTGCGCCCAGGCTAGCTCCCCGGCGCCTCCTGGAGAACTTGGTGGCTGTGTGCTGCCTCGAGGTCAGATGGGACCGACCTGTATGGCAGGTGCTTCTGCTCCCTGTGGTCCCAGGAGGCCCTGGGCGACCTGGTCAGGCCTGGAGGTGAGTGGGTGTGAGCCACACGTGTGTGAGAGGTGGCTCCGGGGCTCGCATTCCAGTAAAGAAGTGAGTGGCCGCCAGCAAGGGGCTCTGCTGCCCTCTGCCCTATTTCGTCTGTCTGTCCCCCGATAGCGTGACCAGGGTGGCTCAAGGTGGACGGGCTCCCCTTGGCCACGGCAGCTCCCGGCTCCCTGTTCTCGCTGTGATGACCGCAGTAAGGGGTCCCGTGTGTCCTGGGGCTGTGGAGCTGTTCTGGGAGGGGCCCTCCAAGAGCGGGGCTGCCTGGCCGTGCGCCCCCTCCTGGCCCACTCCTCCTGTGTTGGTGAAAGCAGGGATCGTGGGAGGCTGCCCCGAAGCAGCAGAGCTCCGGGTGCCGCACGGTGCCCTGTCCTCCAGCCTGTGTGTCTGTTGTGTCCGTTGTGAGAGAGGGTGCAGCTGGGCAGCTGATGAAGGCATTGTGCAGCCTCCTTGGAACGCTGCCCCTTTGGGGTTGAGGGAGGTCGGGGCACAGGTGCAGCCGGGGCATGGGGTTGGGGTGCGGGATTGGGCCGGGTCGCCAGGAGCCTGCAGATCCCAGGTAGCCGAGTGGGGCTGGCAGCGGAGCCGCGAGATTGATTCCGCTTCCCTCTGAGCTCGGAATAAATTAGTGCTCTGATGGTGGGGTGGGAAGGAGAGCGCGTTATGAACTCCAGAATGTGTTGTGGAGAATTGAACTAAATGGGAGAGGAAACAAGGAGAGAAAACAGGAATTAAGTACAGGACCCGAGGAGCCCTGGTGAGCGCAGGGGACCGCGCCCGACACTGTGGCGTTTCAGGAGAACGGTTCACGTCCACGGAAGGCAGCCTGCGAGAGCTCGTCCCCGGCGACGGCGCTCGTGGGGAACGTCTTTAAAAGCCCTCGCTGCTGGCAGCCTCGTAATTTGCCCCGTGGGAAATAATGTGTTGCCTTAAGTCATTTCCATAGGAACAGAATGATTTTCTGAGGACAAATATTCCCGGAAGAAAGGCAGACGCTGTCCTGGTGGGAAGCAGCAGGAGCCGGGCGGAGCGGCCAGGCTGAGCTGCCTGTGTTGAGTTTCAAAAGCCTGGGCAGGAGCGGGCGTGCAGGGGTCGCTTGTTTCCGTGCCATCTTGGCTCCTGAGCCCTGGCCGGGCCATGGCTGGTTCCGTCCGGTTCTGTGACATTCTTCAGGGCGTGTGGAGGTGGGGGGGCCCTCCTGGCCCCTGGTGGAAGAACCTTCTGGAAGGATCCTTTGCCCCTGTCCTGAGCCTGGTCCCAGGAGGCCTGCACTCTGCCCCGAGGAGTCAGTGCCCCCTCTGGAGCTGGGGTCCCTGGTTGGGGGAGAGGGGTTGTTCCCTGGCCCTTGTGCCTGCATGCCCACCTCCCTCTGAGCCTGGGCCTTGACTCTCCAGGCTGCAGACATCAGCAGTCCGGGGGGTGGGGAGGTTCCTCTCTCCTGCTCTTGCCTCTGCCCACCATTGAGGGTCCAGCCTCAGCACCAACCGTTTAGGCTCCGCCCTGCCGCCAGACTTCACCCAGGCAGGCTTTTGTGGGGTCTGTGGGGTGAAAGGAGCGCCCTTTGTGCAAAGCTAGAGGCCTCTGGGGCTTGGGTGGTGGTCTCTGCCCTTGCCCTTGCCCTTGCCCTCTGGGCCCAGGGAGGGGAGGTGCCCTCCCTCGTTTCTGCAGACCCCCTCAGGCATACAAGGCCCCTGATAGGTCTTCGAGGGGCCACCCGTGGACACCTGGGCCACCCAGAACCCTCTCACACCTCCCACGCAGGCACACGCATCCTGATCAGAACTGAGGAAGGAGCTGAGCTGACCAGGAGACGCAGTTTAAGCTCCAGATGTCGGCACTGCTGGGGTCTTGTGCCGACTGCTAACCGCAGCATTGTAAAACTGGACACGATGCTGCCCCAGAGGATCTACACCAGGTCTTATTTATCACCCAGTTGGGTTTCCCCAGGGTACTGGGGCTCTGATGGCAGCTCCCTGTCCAGCCCCACCCATCTCGGAGGCAGCCTCCCGGCCTCTGGACCCCATCACCCTCCCCCTTTACCATCCTGAGGAGGGTACCAGCCCGGCGCGATTACCCTGCGCCTTGGTGTGGATCCCAGCACCCTTTGTGGGGGCAGGAAGTCCTCCATACACGCAGGGAGCTGGCCAGTGTTGGTTTTCACTTTACAGAGAGCAAACCCCTTAGACACGGGAGATGACGTTTGCAGTATTTGGTTTCCAGCTGACTTGGTGAGCAGAGTGGGGCATGTCCCGTGATATCTCGGCCTGCTCGGAGGAGGCCTCCGCAGCTCGGAGTCTGTGAATATTTCCCATGAGTTAGCACCCTGCTGTGTGTGGCTGATGCTCACCCGACAGCCTAGGGCCCATGGCTCACCTGACCAGCCTCCATAGGGGCCATGGCTTCCATGGGCGCCTGCTCGCCCCGGGGGCCTGCAATGGCTGTGGGGAGACGGTAAAGGGCCGGAGCCCCCTTGTGCCTCCTGGGGAGGACCCGAGGCTGTTCAGTGCGTGTGCAGAAGCAGGGACCCACAGGTGCCGGCCCAGGTGCTTGAGCTGGGAGCCTGCCCTTGGTCTCCTCTCAGTGGGAAGCCAGATGAGTGCAGTGCCCCTCGGAGGGTCCAGTCGGCTTGATGGAGCTGGTCCTCACACTCTCTGCGGCTTGTTACGGAAGAAAAAAAAGCCAGCTACAAAAACCACACATCTGAATGTGCCTGTGATTTTGGGGTAAATTCAGACGTCACCAGAAGTCTTCTTCCTTAAAGGGAGAAGATGTCCTTCCCGTGAGTTTGTGTTTTGAGAATGCCTCATGCTCCGTGGCTTGTCCCAGACAGAGGGTGAAACGGAGCCCGGCACCTCCGTCTGCAGAGCTGTGCGTGGTCCAGGTGTGCGCCGTCCTGGGGTGGGGGGTGGGGGCATTGTGCCTGCCCGGCTTCCCGCAGTGCACATGGAGTCGTCATCTGTCTCACTGCTACCACCAAGCACCACTGTCTGGGCAGCCTGGAAGTAACAGAAGCTTACGCCTCACGGTCCCGGGGCTGGGAAGGCTCAGAGGCACCGTCTGGGGAGGGTGCGCTCTGCGTCCAGGGGGAGGCCACCCGCTGCCATATCATCACATGGCAGAAGGCAGAAGGGCAGGAGGGGCTGCCGTATCATCACATGGCAGAAGGCAGAAGGGCAGGAGGGGCTGGTGTATCATCACATGGCAAAGGCAGAAGGGCAGGAGGGGCCCGCACTCCCTGTGGCCTCTTTTGTGGGGTCCTAAATGCCCCACCCGTGACTTCCTCACCTCCCAGTGCCCCGTCTTCATCCTGTCTCATTGGCAGTTACGTTCCAGGAGCAGGCAGA